GAGTATTATAATTCAGTCAGCCTGCTGCTTTCTGGCTGAAGCTCCTTCTGCCAGGTCCAAGATGGTTTAAAGGAAGTTAAACTAATTATTTTAGATGCCTCTCCACATTATGAATAAAAATATCTTCTTACAGCAGTAGAGAGCCGAGCAGCCAGGGTCATCTCCAGGTTTCCTCTGAGTCCGACCAGAGCAGGAACCAGAATAAAAACCTCTGTTAATCAAATGTATATATCCATAAATCTAATGTCAAACTCCTTCATCCCAAACGTCACATTCATGTGTACATTTATAAATTATCACTTGCAAGTTTCAGTAGAATTTGTCTTGCGACTTCCAAGATATTGTGCTAACAGACACCTTTATACTCAGCGGCAGGAGGGGAAAACAATTCAGTGTTTCTATTCTGTTCCTTGGGGGCGTAAGCCCCAGCTGTCTGTTGGCAGCATGCTCTCACTCGTACATGTGTGCTGGTGTGTTCTATTTGCTGAGGATACAACATGCTTTTGTTCTGGTAATGACATTGAACAAATGTTGGACATGATACAGACAGAATGTATGAAAATACAAAGTTGGTTTCAACTTTAATAAATTATCATTAAACTTGGACAAGGCAAATTATGTGATTTTCTGTAACAATAAGAGAACTGTAGATGTTTCATTTAAAATTGATGATGTAGAGATCTGTAGAGTCAGTGAAGTGAAGTTTCTAGGTGTCATTATTGATGAAAAACTGACATGGAAAATCATTTAAACTGTTTAAGAACAAAAAAAGCCAAATCAATTGGAGTCCTGTACAAAGTAAGAGAACTGTTCAATGATGAAAGCACTGTTTATGTTGTATAACACTATAACTGTTCCACATTTAATTTACTGTATTGAAGTCTGGGGTAAAGCTTGTAAAACTATCACAAATCCTATTTTTATTTTACAGAAAAGAGCTACAAGAATTATTACTAGAAAAAATTACAGCCATCCATCGAACATATTGTTTCATGATTTGAAATTATAAAAAATTCTATGATTTGGTCGATTATAATATTTTGCTGTCAATAGACAGAGCTCATAAAGGTGTCTTAGCTTTCAACATTCAGGTAAATTTTGTTAAAAGAGAGAGCTGTTTGTAAAACCTTGGGTTCGTACGAGCCTGAAGGAGCGATCATCTTTAATCCAGGGAATAAGATTACGGAAGATGATGTTAAAAATGCCAGATCCTTGTATATATTGAAGAAAATGATAAAAAACTAGTATTCTGAAGAAATAGAATTATAAGCGAATTCATGCTAATTGTTTTGCGAATTGATGTCTTTTTATTTTTATTTCATTTTTAAATGTTTTAAGTTGTTTTGATTTTTGTTGTATTTTTACTTTTCTTTTGAACATGTTTTGTGTATTAAAAAAAGGGGCAGATATTATAAGATTTATTCTGCTTCTGCTGCCTTTCATTTTATTTGATTTTATTCTGATTGTATGTTTTTTTGTACTTTGTTAATCTGTGTTACAAATGAAATGAATAAAGAACTACTACTACTATTACTACTACTTCTTAGCAGTACACACTTCCACCACTGGGTGGCAGCATAGATCAAAGACTGAGAAAACTAAAGGTCACGATCTGAAAGAGGGAAAAAATGCTTTCATACACTTGGTGCTAAAATTCTGCAATCAAAACAATAAAACTTGTTGAGGTTCACATGATCTTATATTGAAACTGTGTGTGACAAGTTGTTTTCTAGAGGTGGGGGAGAGAAACTGAGACTTGGCAGCATCAACCACATGGTCCCCATGGATGGTCTGTGTTTTACAGGCTTTAAATCTGGACCTTATTTAGTGTAGCTTTATAGTAACATAAGCCATGCTGAAGTTATAGAAGAGTGGGAAAGCTAGAAGTTATAGAGTTCTGATTTAACAACCAGTACAGTTTATACCAGGAAATAATACATAATAATAATAAATTTCACCAGGAAAGACATATTTTCTATATATTCCAACAGAGACTATTTTTG